AGTTACGCTCATCAGGAAAACGGTGCGCTTTGGTGGCATTTCCTTTGAATGATAGCCGTGGATTATCGTATGCCCCAGAAATTGCGGGTGATTCTTGAGAGCTGCGTCTTAAGTTGACGGACCAAGGGAACGTGGGACCCAGATGGCTTAATGGACAAGTAGTTGGTACCAAACACGACGCAGGTTTGCTAATTTACAAACGCAATCCTTGGCGCGTGAGGAGCAAGCTCCTACCATTTTCTTTCTCTTAACCGCTAAGCGAAATATGCATTTGGCAAAACCAAATCTTAAGAACTTAAATTAACTCTAAATTCATTATTGAGTTCTCAAATTTTAATTAATACATATACTGTTGAACTCTAGGATCTGGGCAATTTAACCCTTATTCCTATAGCAATTTAACTTTTATTCTTATGGTAGTTAAAGAATTAAGGGCTAAATTTTTGTATATTTTACTTGAAGTCATGTTTAAGGCTACAAGCTCAGCTCCATAGTCAACCCTGGTTAACTTGTTTATTATGAGTAATAGAGATTTTAAACTCAAATTTTAAAGCTTGTTTTGGCAATGAACAAGGTTTGAGTTTGGAAATTCTTAGATTCATTTATGTTTATGAATAAAGATTTGATTAAAATTTAATAATAAAAGTTTATTATATAAGTTTTAATTAGAAAATGTTGCATATTTTTATGCGTGTTAGAGTTCAATCAAGTTACTTGTGAGCAAATCTTAAGATTTGAAAATATTTTAAAGAGTCAATGCACAACCGAATTGATTTAAGTCATTTAATAAAACAATTAACTTTGACATTAAGAAAATATTTAATTTGAAAGGAGAGGAAGGATCTTATATTTTATAGTTTAAACTATAAAATACTAAATTTATAAAAAAAACAATATATATTATTTAATCAATAAAAATATAATTAAAATATCATATAAAATTATAAATTTATAATAATTATAAATTTATTATTATAATATACTATTGAATAAATATATATAATATTATGTGACTCTTTAAATAGTGTGACAATAACATCATATTATAATTATAAATTAATAAATTTATATAATTACAATATGTTTTTAAATAAATAAATAAATATATATATAATACAACATTTCGTGGGTTATTCAATGAAAACAATTAATAATATAATGGTACATGAATGGTCACTCCAGAGCGTGTTAGTCACGGGCCAAAAGGAGGGTGAGGCCGAAACTCTAACGGATGGCAAGACAGTGAAATTTCCCAGGCGGCACATGATTGGGTAAATATTCTTCTTTCTTACAAGTACCTACCCACCAGCAGGCGTACGTTTCTCATTACACGGGACCCACAACGGCGCACGTTAGCCCCCCATTTCTTCATCCCTTCATGTCTACTCAGTGTCCCTTTCTTATCATGAATCTGACCCTTCAACCTTCACAACTCACACCATTACGTGTCCTCCGATTTCCTTATATACAGATTTTCCTATACAAATTTGAACAAGTGTCCAGACTTCCAAATTGACTAATCTGTATATTTCTTGGGAGGTTTTCTTTCTTTCAAAAGGGACAAGAGTATTTTCATCTGGGTTTTTCTCAAAATTTGATCTTGTTCACATTTTCTTAGGATTTTTCTTCCTCATTCCTTTGTGGGTTCTTCTCAAAGTTTGATCCTTTGGGGTGGGTTAGGATGGAGGAGAGGTATGAACCATTGAAGGAGCTTGGTGCAGGGAATTTTGGAGTGGCCAGGCTGGTCAGGGATAAGAAAACTAAGGAGCTTGTTGCCGTCAAGTACATAGAAAGAGGGAAGAAGGTAATTTGTTCACCAGACTACTTCTTCTATGTTTATATTATGCTTCTCGAATATTCTTTTTCAAATGTTCAAAAGCACTTTCTTTTTCAATGATTGTTGTTAGTATTTACATGAAACTGAAATTTCTTGTCCTTAAGACTCATTACATTTCAGCATTTTTAAGTCACAAGGGGTTCTCAGTAGGAACAAGGATGTTGCATTTCTGGATGTAACATTAGCAATTCCATGTTCTAATGTATGATTTCTGTTCATAATTTGTTTCAGATTGATGAAAATGTTCAAAGGGAAATCACTAACCATAGATCTCTAAGGCATCCAAACATTGTCAGGTTCAAAGAGGTAAGAAATCGATTCTGAGTTAGATTAGGCCATATGTTGTGAGCAAATTAACAGCATTGGCCTAAGAGAGAAATCACTCTTCTGTGCAGATTTGTCTGACTCCAACACACTTAGCCATTGTCATGGAGTACGCTGCAGGTGGTGAACTCTTTGAGAGAATATGCAGTGCTGGTAGATTTAGTGAAGATGAGGTTGCACGATCTCCATGTCTTTAGATATAGTCTATAAAATGCTGTTTTTTCTTGGATAACATATGCTTGTTTGTTAATCCCTTTTCAACAGGCAAGATTTTTCTTCCAGCAGCTAATATCAGGGGTCAGTTACTGCCACTCCATGGTATGCACGATGATGTGTGAATAACCTTCTAGACATTATGTTTCAAGTTTGCTCCCTTTCTAAATCAGTTGTTGCTTTGCTTCTACTGCAGCAAATTTGTCACAGAGATCTGAAACTGGAAAACACTCTCCTAGATGGAAGTCCAACTCCACGACTCAAAATATGTGACTTTGGTTACTCCAAGGCTAGTAGTGTTTTGAATTTGAAGTTGAAATAATCCTTCTTGTATACCTTTATCAATCTAGCTTCTAATCTTTAGTCCTTTATTCTTTCGTGCCATACAGTCTGCTATCTTGCATTCACAACCCAAATCAGCTGTTGGAACCCCGGCTTACATTGCTCCTGAAGTCCTATCTAGAAAGGAATATGATGGGAAGGTATTATATAATCTCTGTGTGCTAATCAAGCATATCCTCAAAGAGTTAGCTTGGGATTTTTCTCTTCTTTTTTTACACATACATTAATTCCACCATCAGCCATGTGTTATTGACAGTACTTTAATGCCCTATACTCGTATCTGTTAATTTGATAGTCTATTAACTGTAGATTGCAGATGTGTGGTCATGTGGTGTAACACTCTATGTGATGTTAATTGGAGCATACCCCTTTGAGGATCCTGAAGATCCTAAAAATTTCCGTAAGACCATTGGGGTAAGTTTCTGCTGAGCTACTAGACTGGAGGAGGATCTTCTTCTTTCCTTCATCAGTTGTTTGTAGCACTTAAATTGAATCTGTTTTTGTTTGACAGAGAATAATAGGCGTCCAATACTCAATACCTGATTATGTACACATGTCTGCTGAGTGCAGACACCTCCTTTCTCATATCTTTGTTGCCAATCCTGCGAAGGTATTGCCATTCTTTTCATAAGTTCCTCACCATTCTTACAATGTTGAAATGCTTTTCAAATGGTACTGAATTCTCTTGTCTTTCTTGAAGAGGATTACCATCCCGGAGATCAAGCAGCATCCTTGGTTCTTGAAGAATTTGCCCAAAGAGCTAGTTGACATTGAGAACACAAACTATGCAGAGTCAGCATGCGATCAACCATCTCAAAGTATCGAAGAAATAATGTGTATCATAAAAGAGGCGCAGATGCCTGCTGAAGGGCCCAAAGTTGGTGAGCAAGCTGTTCCTGGGGCATCAGACCTCGAAGACATAGAGGCAGACATAGAATCTGAGGTTGATGTCAGTGGTGACTTCGACAACCACCTGTGAGCATGGCCTTAATTCAAGGATTTGCATCTCAGGCTATAGATTTGTGTTATATCTGACAAACTTAATGATAATATGCATTCATGATGTTGTCAATGCTGTATACTAGGACCATATTGGATGATATTGCCTTCATTGCTTCCAGTTATATGCCCTTTTTGAGTGTCCCTTGTCAAGGGAGGTCTTGTACTTGGTATTTGCATATGAGATTTGTCATTTTTGGATGAGTGCTTCAATTTTTTACTTTCTTTGGATAATTTTCAATAGTGAAACATTAAGCATTTCAGAGGTAAGTGAGATTTTGATTCAGAGACAAAAGGAAAGAACAAGAGGAAGGATGGAAAAGATATGATTCTAACTTGAAATAAATAAGTTCTTTTATTCATTATACATATTGGTTATACAAATAGAGATAGTCTTTTGAGCCATTCTTCGCTAGCCCCCGACATTTGACCTTGAAATCCAGTAGATCATTTTAAAGACTTGCTGTCCTTGCGCAGTTATATCATCTCTTAAACTTAGATGTTAAATCTTACATATACCATGTAGTGACATTACTTGATGCATGCTATCCCTTAAGTGGTTATTTATGTTATCTCTTAGATTATTAGAATTTTGCACATGTAGTGACATTGCTGACTGCGCATGTTGAGTGCTGTGTGTGAGCGTGGTGAACTGATGAGTTTGTATAAAACTAAATACAGAGCAAATTCCAATCCACAAGTTGAATTATACAATTCATGATAAAAGAATATAAAAGAACAAAATAAATAAATAAATAAAGATAAAAGGAGATCTCAAGCACTAATGCTTTGGACTGAAGGACACGTGGCTCCGCATGGTTCATCTCTCCATAAGCTCAGGTGAACGGCATAAGTAAACCAAACCAATGAAACTCATAAGTGAGTAAGAAACCAAAGACAACAAATTGACTAATAGAATAATCCCTAATGAAATCATTAAGGCTTAATTCTTCAAACATAGAAAATCAATAAACCATTAAGAAAATAGAAGAAAGTTAAAGAGCTAAATTTTAGTTATTGTACTTAAAATTTAAAAGGATCTGCATTTAAAGATAGACAATTTTGAACCTGTAAACATAAGCCATAAAAGTTAAAATCAAACTTATTATTATTAAATTAGATGCTGTTGAAGACAACCAAATGTGCCTTATGAGTTAGGACCTATCATTCAAATTCAACTGGCACAAACGAGAAAGTCATTGAAACTAACTTCGAAAACAGTAACAAGAAGGCTGTAGCAAGCATACAGAAAGAAATGTAACATCCAGTACATGATAGAGAACAGACTCAACAGCATAACATCTGTTTAGCATTTTAAATATAAAAAAATATTAGAAAGAATGCAAAGGTTGCAACATGCTGAGAGATCTTACAAAAATTCAGAAACTTAGCATATGCAAATGAAAACCAGAAAGCCCATAGAAAAGCACAAAAATTGATAGAAAATGAATGAAAAACACAAACCACATGCAAACAAAAGTTCTGTTAAGCAATATTATATAATTCAAAGCAGAATGTGAAACACGAGGCAAAGAATAGAAAACAAAAGTTGGCATCAAGTTACCTCACGACTTGTTTTCAGTTCAACACAAAATCCTCTCATCATCTGTTGCATCACACCCGTCCATTCCAGCACCCACCAAAATATGATAAGCCCCCTAATTTGGTTTTGGTACAAGACAGTATCCAACATTTGCATCTATATGATGTATCCCTTCATCGTAATGTCTCTTTGGATCATCAGTTGCAAGGTTCTAAAAACAATATCCACAGCAGCATCTAAAACTAAACGAGTAAGATATGGAAATTCCCATCACCCGTAAGCACATTCAGTTCAAGTCAATGAGAGACGAGTGATTATATCACTATAACCTGTAAATTTCCGGACTTTATAACAAGTCAGCCACAAACCTGCTTCTAAAATTCATGGCAAACAATAAAAAGCAACATAAAACTCAGCTACACGATTGATTGCTCAATTAAGCGATGAAACCCTAACATTTGCCCATCTATGACCTAAAAGTATCCAAGACCAGTGATTATATCAAAGCGGAAGCTAAAAAGGAATCAGATTTATTTCAAAAAAAAAAAAAATCAAATCCCCAAATACCAAATCAAACTTTCATCGACAAATACACAAATAAAATTGAAACACTGAGAATTGAAATACCAGTCACGACTGAGGAAAGTCCAAACCTTTAATATTCCAACCAAGAATCGGAATGACCACCACGATTCAGGCCGCCGGAGAGAGAAAGTTAAGAATTCAAACTTCGAACAGATCGAAATCGAACCATGGGATAAGAGAGGAGGCCGTTTGGGAGAGAAGCATTTTCTGACCGTTGGGAGGATTTTTCGACTTTTTGGGTTCAAATTCAAACGTTACATTATATCGACATGCCCAATTTGGGCCAGTACCCAAATCACAATGATTTGGAATCTTGGGCTGGGCTGGGCTGGGCTGGGCTGGGCTGGGCTGGTAGATTTTTTTAACCTAAAAATTACGACTTAAACGACATCGTTTTAATTGTTAGTATATTACGCATTGTTTCATCAGTGTCTTCTTCTCCTGGACTCCCTCCGTGAGTCTCTTCCCGCCAAACCCTAACCAGAATGGTTCTGAAATTCCACCAACAGATCGTCGGAGATCTGGTGGATGACCCTAACGGCGGCCTGGTGATCCTCTCCTCCGGTCTCTCTCTCCCTAAACTCCTCTCCAGTTTCCTCTCCCTCCACGACTCCTCCCGCGGCTCCCTCCTCCTCCTTCACTCCCCTCACCATTCCTCCTCACTCAAGTCTCTCCTCCTTTCGTTCTCCCCAGACCTCCCTCTCTCTGATATCACCGCTGATCTCCCCTACACCCATCGCCTTTCCCTCTACTCCTCTGGACGCATCCTCCTTGTCTCCCCTCGTATCCTCATCGTTGACCTGTTGACCAACAAGGCTCCTGCGTCTCTCATTTCCGGACTCATTTTCCTCAGCACTCACTCCCTCTCTGAAAGCTCTACGGAATCCTTCATAGTGAGAATTCTTAAGTCCTTCAAAAAGGATGCCTCCGTCTATGCCTTCTCCGATAAACCTCACGCCATGGTTTCGGGGTTTGCCAAGACTGAGAGGATAATGAAGAGCTTGTTTATAAAGAAACTGCACCTCTGGCCGAGGTTCCAGGTCAATGTGTCGGATGAGCTGGAGAGGGATCCACCGGAAGTGATTGATATAAGGGTTCCCATGAGCAAGTATATGGTGGGGATTCAGGGGGCGATTGTAGAGGTCATGGATGCGTGCTTGAAGGAGATGAGAAAGACCAACAAGGTTGATGTTGAGGATCTGACAGTGGAGAACGGGTTGTTCAAGTCTTTTGATGAGATTGTGAGGAGGCAGTTAGACCCCATCTGGCATACTTTGGGAAAGAAGACTAAGCAGCTTGTCTCGGATTTGAAGACATTGAGGAAGCTGTTGGATTATCTTGTTAGGTAAGGTACCATAATTTAGCTTTTAAACTTGATTATGATTGATGTACTAGTACTAATCTTGAAAAGTTCATGCCTCAAATTCATCAGTGCTTTATGATTTGATTTATTATGTTAGGTTTGAGACAATTGTTGATACTATAACAAAACAAAATTGGTGAAGGTTTGTTTTATCAATATATTTTTGGTTTGATTATGGTCATGGGAATTGATTTTGATACATTGTTTGGGTAGGTATGATGCGGTGAGTTTTTTGAAGTATTTGGATACCCTTAGAGTGTCAGAAAGTTTTCGCTCTGTTTGGATATTTGCAGAGTCCAGTTATAAGATATTTGACTATGCAAAGAAGCGAGTTTATCGTTTTGGGAGGTCAGATGGCAAAATTAATGCAAAGACTAAAATCAAGTCTAGCAAAAAGAGAAAATTGAAGGAGGATGATGATAATGGGGAAGAAGGTAAGGGTGTATGATTCTGTTGTTTGCTTCGTTTGGCGTTTTCTCTTAAAAATTTTTAATTATGTCATGCATAAAAGGAGCGGAGCATTTGCAAGCTATGTGATATTTCTAACACTTCTCTGTTCACTTTTTGTTTATAGCAATCAGTAGTTCTTCCACAACAAGTATGAATACTTCAGTTCTGGAAGAAGTCTTGGAAGAGTCACCAAAATGGAAGGTGTTGCGTGTGAGTGAGTTCAATTTTCTGTTCTGTTAGTTTTTCTATTTTTGCCTGCCTTTTTTGGCCATCCTCTTTTTGCCTGCTGCTTCATGTCTTTTAGCCATTTTAATTTGTAACCATCTACCTGGCTCTGAGTTGCAGCATGCAAATCAAAGTTTGGTTCTGACATTATCCTATGTCCCCCCGGTTTCAACTACTTTTGCTTTCCACTATGGCTATTGTTCAACGTGGATGGCTTTCAGCTGAAAAATTTTTTTGAACAGTTCAATATAATTCAAATTATATCATTTCATTTTAGGATGTTCTTGAGGAGATAGAAGAAGAAAGACAAAAACAAGCTTTGTCAACGGAACTTTTGTTTGATGGTGAAGAGGATAACAATGGCATTGTTTTAGTGGCATGCAAAGATGAACGTTCATGCATGCAACTTGAAGATTGCATTAGTAACACCCCACAAAAGGTGTTTTTCTTTTCCTTTTTATGACCTATTATTTTCTTATTTGTATTTTTTACTTTGGCATGCATATGTTCCACTCCCCCACTCCCCACACACAAGGACTGTTCACTTGGCTCTGAAACTGAATATCTTTTGATTATAATTCCTACATATAAAAGTTTCACTTGGTCCTTGAGATCTTGTTCCTGAATGCATGCTGTCTTACCACTTTGAACTGGGAATTTTATGTTCTTTGCTATGATTTTCAGTGCCTGTATATGCATTTTCAACCATAAATTTACCATTCCTTTTAGTTTCTTCTTCAGGTGTGAATAATTCTTAATGTATTCCACTGTTAAATTAAAAAAAAAAAAATTTGTGTTAAATTGTTAAATATTTAAAGTTAAGCCTGCAGCATACTAGTATGTGCAGAAAATAACGAATATGCTAATATACTTTTCGTGGCACCTTTTTTTTTTTGATAAATTACTAAATAAGGTTGTAAAATGTCATGCTTGATGCAACTGTTTAATTAGCATATTTTTCTTCTAAAGGTCATGCGGGATGAATGGGAGAAGTACTTATTGAGCAAAGTGGAGCTGCGTGGTGTTCAAACACCTCAGAAAAAAAAACCTAAGGCTCCCAAAGGTTATGGGATTCTTGATGGTGTTATTCCTGTTATAACTGCCCAGAATACAGAAGCTAGCAGTGCATGCAAGCAGGAACATGAAGCTTTGATGGCAGCAGCATCCAAGATAAAAAACTTGGCCAAAAAACAGTCTGATGCCACTGTTGATACTGAGCCTCAAGTTGGCAGCAGTCGACAAGGGAAAGGGAGAGCAAAAGTGAAGAAAAAGAAAGTTCCAGCTAATGTACAGCAATCTGGAGATGGGGATAACTGTAATAATACCAAGCCATATATAGATAATCAGTCCAAAATATCTGATTTAGAAAATGAAGTCGAAAAGAATGGAATAAATCCTGCTATTCAAAATGGGGTTCTTGAGAAGCATGTTATGAGGGTTAATGCTGCAAAAGATGGAGATTCTAAGCAATTACCACTGGTGTACTTTCATGCTCTGGAAAGTGATCGGCCTATACTTGACATTTTGAAGCCATCTGTAATTATTGTTTACCATCCAGATATGACCTTTGTCCGAGAAATTGAAGTCTACAAGGCAGAGAATCCTGCAAAACAGGTGAAAGTTTATTTTCTTTTCTATGAAGATTCTACTGAAGTCCGAAAGTTTGAAGCAAGCATACGCAGGGAGAATGGAGCATTTGAATCTTTGATCAGGCAGAAATCAATGATGATGATCCCAGTTGATCAGGTTTGAAATTCTGAAGTTATTTCTTCACTGTAGAGTATTCTGCTTCATCATTTCCTCCCTTTTAATCTCTTGTACTGGATCATTTGTTTGATTTGCATTTACATAGGATGGCTTCTGCCTCAGTTCAAGTTTCTCTCTAGAGCCACAAGCTTCAAGTTCCCAGAACTCGATAACCAGAAAGGCAGGTGGAAGAAAGGAAGTTGAGAAAGAAATGCAGGTGCATGATATGGTGCCTCTTCTATGAGTACTCTCAGTTACTTGCTAGATGTTAGAGTTTGCTCATGAGTGTTGCTACCTTTGTAGGTAATTGTGGACATGCGGGAGTTCATGAGTAGCCTGCCAAATGTTCTCCATCAGAAGGGCATGCGCATAATACCAGTTACCTTGGAAGTTGGTGATTATATCCTATCACCATTAATATGTGTTGAAAGAAAGAGCATTCAAGATCTTTTCATGAGCTTCACTTCAGGTCGCCTTTACCACCAAGTGGAGACCATGGTTCGATACTATAGAATACCCGTTCTTCTGATTGAGTTTTCACAAGACAAAAGCTTCTCATTTCAGGTGACCTGAATTAATTCCTCCACAATGACCAAAAATAACAAAATGAACCCATCAACCAATCAATTTTATGAGGAGAAAAGTTATCTGTGCTAATCTTTTTACTGTTTGGTTTGTTCTGCCGCCATTTCCAGTCTGTAAGTGATATCGGTGATGACGTCACACCAAATAATATTATATCAAAGCTGTCATTGCTTGTTCTTCATTTTCCACGCTTGCGGATCATCTGGTCTCGCGGTTTGCATGCAACTGCAGAAATATTTGCTTCACTGAAGGCAAATCAGGATGAACCCGATGAGGCCAGGGCAATAAGGGTTGGTGTGCCTTCTGAAGAGGGCATCATAGAAAACGATGTGAGGTAAGCTTCACGTCCTTCTTCAGAGCTTGGTTGACCTTTTGGATTTAGAAACTTTACAGTTAATTTCTTTATTTCAGAGCTGAGAACTATAATACATCTGCTGTCGAGTTTCTGAGACGACTCCCAGGCGTTACAGATTCCAACTACAGGGCTATGATGGATGGATGTAAGAGCTTGGCAGAGCTTGCCCTTCTTCCGGTGGACAGACTTGCTGAACTAATGGGTGGTCGGAAAGCTGCTCAGACTCTACGAGACTTCCTCGATGCCAAGTATCCAACATTATTGTAACTATAGCAAAATGGACAACTAAACATCATTTTTTCGTACGGGCAAAAAAAAAAAATATTCTTTCCTTCTTGGACATGTAATTGAGATGTTCTTTCTTTAGTAGTATCATCAATTAGGTGTAATCGAGCCAAACTGAGCTTGGTTCAACCAAGTTCGAACTCTTAAGTTCATGACTCTTTCAATAAGTTGAATTTAAGCACAAATTTGATCGAGTTAAGACTCGAATTCAATTTGATAAACCTTTCTTTAAAACTCGATTCAGATGGTCTAGAACCAAGCTCCAGTTTGATTAGTGCTCAACTCGTTTCATGCAACCACACGGTGAGCACAGAGCGAGCTATTCTTTCACCTTGTACTAAAACCGAAGGCTTAATTCATTTCCATCTCTCATCTTTTCCGTAACAAAACGGTTCCTCTACAAGAACAACAGAGCAAAGATGAAGTCATGAGCAAGTGAATGAGTTGACAAGATTTTTTCAGTTTAACCAAGTTGACAAGACTTTTTCAGTTTAATCTGGAGTTTTGATTTTAAATTCTAATGATGCAATTCTGTTAAAACTCATGGGGAAAAGTTTTGTTTTGTTAGACCTAATCGGCTTAAATCTGAATTAACCAATGAACCAGTAAACTTTTAAATATCGGATGGTTTAAAAAAAAAACAGAGCGAGGATGGAAACCAGTGATTCAACATGTGAACGACGTCGCTTTGATAGCACTCAGTTTTCTTAAACGGCGGCGCTCCGGAGAAAATATCTTGCCGGTAGTTCCACCATTTTATCACTGTCTATCAGTATCATCATCTCTTTCTCGTCCGAAGGATAAATGGCGCTTTCTTTTTCCGGCACTGCTAATCTCGCTACTCCAAAACCCTCTCTCCGCCGAACCTTCTACGTCACCAGGAAACCCCATTCCGTCACAGTTCGCTCTGTTTCCTCGTCCCCTTCTTTCTCCACCGACCATGCTAATCGTGGGCCCGAAGACTGGACCCCGGGGTCCTGGAAGTCGAAGAAGGCTCACCAGCTCCCGGAATACCCGGACGAAGCGGAGCTGGACTCGGTCCTTAGCACAATTGGTTCCTTCCCCCCAATTGTGTTCGCTGGCGAGGCGCGAAAGCTCCAGGAAAAGCTCGCAAACGCGGCTGTAGGAAAGGCGTTTCTGCTACAGGGAGGTGATTGTGCCGAGAGCTTCAAAGAGTTCAACGCTGATAACATCAGGGATTCCTTCCGGGTCCTGTTGCAGATGGGGGTTGTCCTTACTTTTGGTGCACAAATGCCCGTTATCAAGGTATGATTTTTATGGAAGGTAGTAGTAATTACTTCCCTGCGAGATTCTTGTAGAATGCCTGAATTGTTAGCATGCTTGCTGCATCCCTGAAATTATAATTTCGGGGACTTGTTAGTGACTAGCATGTTCCTGCCTGCAAGGATACAGTGATATGAGAAACCATGTTTGAGATTCTTTCAACAACGTTCTAACTGGAATTTTATTTGGTTGATTTCTTAAGCAATTATAGCTTCAATATGTCAAGCCTTACATTCCGGAGGCTAAGTTTGTTTTGTGAATTATATTATACAATTGATAGGTGGGAAGGATGGCAGGTCAATTTGCTAAACCTAGGTCCGATCATTTTGAGACAAAAGATGGTGTTAAGCTCCCTAGTTATCGGGGAGACAACGTTAATGGTGATGCATTTGATGAGAAATCTAGAACACCTGACCCTCAAAGGTTGGTTAGAGCCTATCTCCAATCTGTTGGCACTTTGAATCTCCTTCGGGCATTTGCCACCGGTGGTTATGCTGCCATGCAGAGGGTCTCACGATGGAATCTTGATTTTGTTCAGAGCAGTGAACAAGGGGAGAGGTAAACGTTCTAAAGTTCATTCTTATTCATGAAGTTCTTGTCTGTTCCTCTTGGTACAAGTTTCTAAAAACTCTGGAATCTTAATGCTATGACTAGTTAAATGCCCTTGTGACACTGGCTACTAACTGATACTATGCTTTTTTGACCTGCACTTTCCCGATCATGCAAGTAAAACTTCAAACCAGTTTTGGTTGGAATGGTTGACTATTATTTACTAGTCTACAAACTAACCAGTTGTATAGCTAGTAAACTTTATTTCTTTTTCCCCTTAGTTTTAGTCATTTCTATTAGGAAGCTTAATAGATAAGAATAGTTTTACCAAACATCTTATGACCTGTTTATTTTTGAAGAGCAGGTACATGGAACTTGCGCAGAGGGTAGATGAAGCTTTAGGATTCATGGCTGCTGCTGGACTCACTGTTGATCACCCCATAATGAATACGGTTGAGTTTTGGACATCCCATGAATGCCTTCATTTACCATATGAGCAGGCCTTGACCAGGGAGGATTCGACTACTGGTCTATATTATGACTGTTCTGCTCACATGCTTTGGGTAGGTGAGAGGACTCGGCAGCTGGATGGAGCCCATGTTGAATTTCTCCGGGGCATATCCAATCCTCTTGGGATAAAGGTACCTGATGCTCATGATCTTAGCCCAATACAGCACATCCAAATTATACAAAAGTTTATTTACTGTTTTACATGAACATATAGGTCTAATATTTTTTCACTGTGGCAATTTTCTTTTCTGTCTGAGTTGAACAAGGGTTGTTTTTATGGCTTGTTTATATGATTAGACTCATAAGGATAACAGTATGAGGGTCACCAAAGTATTCAATGAGAACTCTTGAAAATAAAATCATTTCAATGAGTTGAGACTTTCATGAGCAGTGAAATTTGAGGTGATTGAATGGGCCCCCATTGGTGAACTTTAGCTTTAAGTGTATGTTATTTGAGTTTTAAATTTTAATGTGAAAATCCAACTGTCATTCTTTTGTCTTTAATTTTGAGTGGCGAACAGAGTTTCAACATTGATTAGGTTTTATGTTTTTAATATTCTTTTCTGGGTGTTGATAACTATACTAATGCTATAGGTCAGTGATAAGATGGATCCAAAGGAGCTTGTGAAATTGTGTGAAATTCTTAACCCTCGGAACAAACCTGGGAGACTGACAATAATCACCCGAATGGGAGCTGATAACATGCGGGTAAAGCTTCCACATCTTATTAGAGCAATGCGTCAAGCTGGCCTTGTTGTCACATGGGTAAGTGATCCCATGCATGGAAACACAATCAAGGCTCCATCTGGTCTCAAAACTCGGTCATTTGATGCAATCAGGGTAAGAACTGAGCTAATTATGCTTAAAACCCTAGAACTTATATTTTGGCACCATGGGAATATGCATCAATGATTGACATAAACAGGGAGTGGTTTCTTACTTTCTTTCTTCCCAGGCTGAGTTGAGGGCATTCTTTGATGTTCATGACCAAGAAGGGACCTATCCTGGAGGAGTTCATCTGGAGATGACAGGGCAAAACGTAACAGAATGTGTTGGAGGGTCAAAGACTGTGACTTTTGATGACTTGAACTCCCGCTATCACACGCACTGTGATCCTAGGCTGAATGCATCTCAGTCACTGGAGCTGGCATTTCTCATTGCGGAAAGGTTGAGGAAGAAAAGGTTGAAATCTGCTGATGACCTCTTCACAGGGCACAATCTTGGTGGTTCTATGGCATAAACAAGCCACCTTAAAACCTTAGATCCTTAAAGTATAATCTGATTTCGTTTATCTGTTCTGTTAGTTTTGTCATGTAAAGGTTGCATATTCTGCGGTTGGAAGCAACAAAAACTCTTTTTTTGGGGTACATAAGTAATAAAAACTCTTGCTTTTTCTGTAAGGAGCCATTGAGTTTCTCTTAAATCATTGCTGCTTACTGAATTTCTGCCATGCTAGGGTATTTTACGCATTAAGTGGTGATTTTTATACCCTTTGTCTGGGCGTGGGTGATTGGGTGTTCTTCTTTTTATATAGATATATATGTTTATGAAAACTCCGATTAATTGTGGATCCGTGGCGCAATGGTAGCGCGTCTGACTCCAGATCAGAAGGTTGCGTGTTCGATTCACGTCGGGTTCAAAACCCCGATCCTACCGGATCCTTCCCTTTTCCATTTTTGTGTCCGTTTGATGCAGCCATGCAGGTTGTACTTAAGTTTTTTTACATTATTTATATTTTATAAATATAAATTAAAAAAATTTATATTTTAAAATATTTTTTTAACTCTAAAAAAAAATTTTAAATAGTAAAAGATCAAA